GAGAGGATTCACCAGAAACAGAGTGGGGAGCAGTACAGGCAGATCCACGAAGTACACTGCTGAGGGGAGCAGGGGGTGCGTCAGGAGAGGTCTGCCGCGCCATGTGGACTCCTCCCGGGCAGGCGGGAATTGAACTCATGCGGAAGTGGCTTAAGCTTCTCAGTGCAGTGCTTTAACCAGCTGCGCCACCAGGGAGGGCCGAGTTGATTAATTTTTTACAGATTTGCAGTCCTTGCTTTGAAGTGAAAGTCTGTATAGATTGGCATAGCCAGATTTTCTTTTTGGAAGGCTTAATCTACATCAGTTCCTGAAACATTTATTTATCATTTTTTTTCTGAAACAGTTATTTGCAGGCTGCCACAGAAAGCTTAGCCACAGGGAGTAGAGGAATATGAAAAAATTAGACTGAATATAATGAAAACATGCAAAGAAATTGAGAATTGAAAATGTTTGTGCTTGAAATAAAGTTTAATAATATTTTAAAATTCAAATTGTTGAGATAAATACTGTTCTTAACAATGCAAAAAAACTTTATGCTGTACTAACTAAAGCAATAGTGATGAGATTAGTGGCTGGAGAGCAATAAAAGAATCATATTGCTAATTATCTTGACATAGAGTTCGTTTATGTATTTATTGATATGGTACCATTGGTACCATATTCTTAATATATAAGAATAATAGACTTTTAGAAGTTAGCCAGTAATTTAATCATATACATGTGCAGTAATTTAATGAGTGACTTTGTAGTGGGAGGTCTAGTGCTTTTTGTTTTCTGCTATACTTTGATATACTGTTCTCCATAAGCTTTCAGAATGATGTAAGAATGTTATTAAAATTGAAATTATTTTCTTTTATTTCTTAGGAGCAGTCACCATATCCTAGCTACAATTCTAACTATTGGAATTCTTCTGCCCGACCTAGGGCTCCTTACCCAAGTACATATCCTGTAAGACCGGAAATGCAAGGCCAGGTAGGACAGAATTTTAAAAGTTTTTCTTTATGAATCAGGCTAGTTTCAGAACTCTGTAGATTCATAGTATCAATGTGTGAAGTTCTGTTATTTAATAGACTCTATCATCTTAATGTTTTTAGCTTGTATAAGGAAATATCTAGGCGAATATTACCTAGAAAAGGTCACTTGAGGCATAATAAGTTAATTTTTAGGGACCTAGAAATGACAAATATAGATGTACTTATTTTTCAAAATTTGACTTCTCATAATAAATACTTAATTTTAAATATTTCAAGGATACTGAAAAAGTACTGGGAATATGTTTATCTTTTTATCTAGCACCTAACTTTTGTCAGTTTTTGTCATATTTGTTTCAGATTTTAGAAGTAATAAAATGTAATTGAAGCCTCATATAACACTCCCTTCCATTTTCTAAAATTATCATAATACATGTTTTTACTATTTACATATGTACTTATATAGTATTACTTCATGTTTTTAAACTTGATAATGAGCAATTTCATTTCAGCATTCTCCTGAAGCTTGCTTTTTAAAACATTGTTTTTAACTGGTCTGTTGTACATATGTGAGACAGACAGGAATTTCCTTAGGACATGGAATTGTTGGGTTTTGGTGTGCATTAAATATCTCCAAATTACTCTTCAAAGTGAGTGTACCAATGAGGAAATGTCTTAAAAAATTAATCCTCCATGATCCAGGCACTTTAATAAAGCAATAGCTGTCATATTTGTGTATTTATTTTTTTCTGTCAAGATACCATGTGCAAATAAGGTTTTAAAAATAATGAAAAGACTGCAATATTTACAATTTTAATCAGCTGCATTTAAAGGGCTTTCAGTTGAATCCACAGAATTTTAGAACCGGTAAGAATATTCTGTAAACTGATATTTTCTGAAGAATAAAGTTGTAAGATCACCGTAAACTATACTAACATAGATTCCACATAGTCAAATTCTCTTCAGTTCTGTTCTAATTTATTAGCTATATGCAGGCTGAAGTAATAGAAATAAGTTTTCAAGGGGCTGAATAATTAACTCACTTTTAAAAAATATGTTTTTTTTCTCTCATTCTTGTTGGCTGGAAGTCTGGTCACAATTTACTCATTTAAGGAAAATATAAAATGTGTGGATTCTTTTACATGCTAATATGTACTAATTTAGGATAATGTTGAACAGAGATAATAGAATGCAAACTAAAGAAAAAAAATCATGATATTATTTATCATAAACTTCCATTTCTTGTGTCAGTCTCATTTCTGTGACTAAAATTGAAAAGCAGGCATTGTTTAATGTTGCTTGTGGTTTGGTTATTTCCCATAAAATTTACCCTTTAAAGTTTACAATTTACTTGTTTTCAGTGTACTTACAAGGCTGTGCATCACTGTACCTGTCACTTCATTCCTCTCTCCCTTTAACCTGTGGTACCTTTTTTTTTTTTTTTAAAAGATTTATTTATTTATTCATACAGAACTGGGGTACAGGCCAGAGGCTCAGGGGCGGTGAGAGGCTTCACCAGAGACAGAGTAGGGAGCAGAACAGGCAGATTGACGAAGTACACTGCTGAGGGAAGCAGCGGGCGGGTCAGGAGAGGTCTGGCTCGCCATGTGGTCTCCTCCGGGGCAGGCGGCAGGCGGGAATCGAACTCATGCGGAAGTGGCTTCAGATTCTCAGTGCTGTGCTTTAACCCGCTGCGCCACCAGGGAGGGCCAACCTGTGGTACCTTTTAACCTACTTTTTATCTCTGTGGATTTACCTATTCTGGACATTTTGTGTAAATGAAATCATATTATCACATATCTTATGACTGGCTTCTTTCATTTAGCATAATGTTCATCCATGTTATGATATGTGTCAATACTTCATTTCTTCCTATGGCCAGATAATAGCCCCTCAGTGGATAAAACACATTTATTTATTAATTATAGAAATTTTAGTTTTTTAATTCTTTGTCTATTATAAATAGTACTGTGAAACACTTGAGTACACTTTCTTATGTGGACATATTTTCATTTCTCTTGGGTATATACCTGGGAGGTGAAATACTGATAATTCTGGCTTAACAATTTTAGAACCTGCCAGTTGCTTTTCCAAAGCAACTACATTCAAAGCAGTTTACATTCCTACTAACAGCAAAAGAGGGTTTCAGTTTCTTCTCCTCTTTTAACAGTATTTGTTAACTTTTTGTTTTTGACTAACCATCCAAACTGTGTGGGAAGTAATATCTCATTGAGGGTTTGATTTGCAGATCCCCATGAGCATTTTTTCATATTATTTACAAGTCATTTGTATATGTTATTTGGAGAAATATCTATTGAGGTTCTTTGCCCATTTTTAAATTGGGATGATTGTCTTTATTGTTGAATTATGAAAGTTTGGTTATATATTGTAAATACAAATCTGTTATGAAATATGATTTGCAAATACTTTCTTCCATTCTTTTCACTCTCTTGACCATATCCTCAGAAGCACAAATATTTTCCATTTTGAAGTTTTATTTTGTTGTACACTTTATTCCTATCTTTTCTTCAAAGAATTAAAAAAAATATGGGCTTCCCTGGGGTCTTGGGGTTAAGTCTCAGTGTTATCACTGCCAAAGCCTGAGCTAGCCCCCATATGGTGCAGCACACTGTTCTGTCTTGCCCACTGCTCTTCTTAGCAGTGTAGTTCAGTAAAACCCATCTATTGTGTTCCCCACTCTGTCTCTAGTGAATCCTTTCACCTTCACACCTCTGGCCTACACCCCGGTTCATCTACACACAAATAAATAAATCTTTTTTTTTTTTTTAAAGATTTATTTATTTATGCATACAGAACTGGGGTAAAGGCCAGAGGTGCAGGGGCGGCGAGAGGCTTCACCAGAGACAGAGTGGGGAGCAGAACAGGCAGATCAAGGAAGTACACTGCTGAGGGGAGCAGCGGGCGGGTCAGGAGAGGTCTGCCACGCCATGTGGTCTCCTCCGGGGCAGGCGGGAATCGAACTCATGCTGAAGTGGCTTTAGCTTCTCAGTGTTGTGCTTTAACCCGCTGCGCCACCAGGGAGGGCCAAATAAATCTTTTTTTAAAAAGCACTAAAAATTAGTTTTAATTCTTACATTTAGGTCGATAATCGATTGTGAGGTAATTTTTGTATGTGGCATAGAGGATGTGAAGTAGGGTACAGCTTCATTCTTTTACATGTGACTATCCACGTGTCTCAACAGCATCTGTTGAAAAGACTGTTCTTTTCTCCAAGTACATTACCTTGATATCCTCGTCTAATATCAATTGACCATAAATGCAGGAGTTTATTTCTGAACTCTCATTTCTGCACCATTGATTTAGATGTTTATCTTATGCCAACACCAAACTGTTTTGATTAATATGAAGTTAGTACAGTTTAAGATCGGGACCTGTGAGTTTTCCATTCTTCTTTTTTGAGATTGTTTTGGCTAGCATGTGTTCATTGCGTTTTCAAGTGAACTTGAGGATCAGTTTCTCACTTTCAGCACAAAAAGGAGGTGGTATTTTCACTGGGACTGCCTGTTATATAAATTTGGGAACTACCGTATGTTACTTTTACAGTTAGTGTAAGAGGAAAACAAAACTCCTTAAAAATCATGAGTCACAATTTTTCTCAGTAATGTTAATTTTTGATTGGTAAATTAATCTTATTATTAATAGATTGTGTTTTCTTTTTTCTTTCCTTAAGGAATTTACTGCATGTATGTATTATATATATTCATTAAAGTTCACCTATGATTTACTAATGACTTGAAAGCAACAGCAATTTTGTGAGAAAGCTTTTAGATATTACAAGTTGTTGGATTCTAAATCCAAAGGTTTAGACATAGACCTGTAAGAGTTAAGTGCCTATTTTCTGATGAAATATATGGGGATTACACATTTATCTTCTGACCAAAAGAGACTTGTAGTAGTAGTGGTACAACTACAGTAGATATGACTAGTTTTCTTTTTAAAAATTTAAATGGTTTCACTCACAGTTGGGTTCTTCTGCCTCATGTTAGCCTTGCTTCATGATCATTCTTCTGTTTGGGAGGCTTTATAAATCTTACAATTCTGTAGAAATAGTTCTATTAAGTCAAGGGTGCATAGTTTCATGCTTTTTTTTTTTTCAGAGTGTCGAATTGATAACCTATTTTCCTAGAAATTGTTCAAGTTACTAAGTCCCTGACCAGTCCACAAAGTTGCTTAGCCTGCTGTGTTTCAGGTGCAGTATATGTGCTATGCAGGTTTTGGGGGCAATCTTTGAAATACAGCTTTCCTCATTTTTCAGAGCTTCATTCTTCAGCTAATAGTAAGGATTGTTGAGAGGAGCATATAGGGCGATTTCATGGAACAGGGAGTGAGCAGCACTGAAGTACATCATCTCATACAGAGGCTGTCTCTGGAGGCAGAAGATATTGTCTCACCAGACTGTTGATGAAGTTCGTGAGGTATTCTCTGAGTTCTTTAAACTAAGTTTGTTTCTTATTTGCTCCCTCATTTCTATCACAAACTTCTGGAGGTGAAAGAGGTCTGTCTTCTCACCTCAGAAGCGTTTCTTCCTCTTTGGCCTGTGTATCAGGGCTCTGAAAGTGGGCCAGGAACACCTTTATTTTCTTGGTTGTGCAGCCAAACTACTGTTTAGGTAACTCAGAGCCTTGATGAGTTCCTGAAATAATGATCATTAGGTCATCCTTAGACACATCTTTAATAGCTGCAAGGCTAATACGTATTCTCTTGACTCCTTGTTCTTTTGTAAACATTCATGTTGCAGCTCTGTGATCCATTAACTAAGGTACTTGGGAAAGAAGGTATGAATTCATGGAAAACATCTGAAACCCAGGAAATAATTTGGATGATAAACATTCAGGTTTTCTAGTAATGATTGTGGTTTTGTTGAAAATCCTCTTATTAGCTATTAATGCAACTTGTTTTCTTAAAGCTTCTTTTCTACCATCTTCTAAAGGATGAAAGGCTGGAATGTTATCTTGCTGATTTTTTGATAAAGGAGATATTCTTTTGGTTTCTGGGAGATTGCATAGAACCATTGAGTGCCTGGGGATAGAAATGAGATAAACTGAAAACTGAGGTTCTTTTATGACTTTCTGAATTGTGAAATCATGATACCAAAAGACATTGGTCAAACCTGTAACACTTTTTAATTAAAGGGTAAAATACGTTATAAAACAAGCTTACGAAGTACTGTAGTCAAGAGCTCCCATGAGATGAAAACTGGAATAGTTCAATAAGTAGAGAACTGCAGGAGGAAGCTACCAGTAAATAATAATAGACTTGGGAATTTCAAAAATGAGCATCAGTAGAAATTCAGGTTGCTAGTTCTGATAAGTTGTGGTTGCTAGAGGAAATCCTTTTTTGTTTTGTTTCTTTGCAACTTTGAAAAGAGAATCTATTGGACCCTGTATTTTTTCTGGATGAGAGACCTGACCATTTTTCTCCTCTTTGGACTCTGCAGCTATACTATAGTTCACAATTGTGAAACCACCTTTTGGAAAAAGAATTTCATTACTGGATAATTTTTGTCTTGCAATGAGAGACCATATGGTATAACATTATTCTGATATTTGAATACTAAGTCTTACCCACATTTACATCTAGAACAAGAACAGTATTTGGATTTTCTGAGTTTTGAAAACTCTAGTATCTTGGTTTCTTCTGTAATCTAGAATGAGAGTTTTCAGAAATCTGATGACTGTCAAGATGTTATTTAATTGTTTTAATTGCTCAGTATCAGATTTCATTTGTTGCCATATCAGCTGACAGGTTTTAAATCACAGCTTGTTATACTTAGATACATGTTTCCCTTCATTAAAATAGTCACTCTAACACTGATTAAGTAGCTATTGCCCTAGCAACCCACTGGGTTCTAGTCACACTTGAGATTTCATGACATTTTTAATAGCTTAAATTTTCTTTTTTACTATAAAATAATACATTATTACTAAAAATTTTTGAAAAGTCTATATTTTGATACATTTGTTTTTGGCCTTTTTGCTGTCATATTTGTACACTTTAAACTTATTGTAATGTACTTTTATCTGACTTCTCATTAATCATAATTACTTTATTTATTACAGGTAAAGTAACAGGAACTTTTTAATATTAAGAAAAATTCAAGGATAACTAAAAATAGTGAGAATAGCACAATAATCTCCCACCTATCTTATTTCTCAGCTTCAACAATTACTACTATATGGCCATCTTATTTCTGCTATGTCCTTGGAGTATTTTGATGCAAATTTTAGACATCATGTTATTTCACTTATATATTTAAGTATGTATCTTTAAAATTCAAGGAAGTTTAAAAACTGTACCATAGTGCCATTAAAAGAATAAACTAAAACTAAATATAGTTATTTAATAATCATTTAAATATCTAGTCAGTGAGTATTTAAGACAGAACAACATTCCCTCAATTAATTACCCAGAATCTCCTTAATCATTATTATATGTCTTTAGATTGTTTACAGTTTTGTAATGTAAATGATACTGCAATGACAACTTTATACCTGTAACTTTTTTTCTAGTATATTTACTTGAATTGCATATTTCATTAGGAAAGATTTCTTGAAGTTGAATCATACTAAAAAAAAAAAATCACATGGTATTTTAACAAGTTTCGAACTGCATATGTGGGATCAAGGGATTCTTTATTTGTGCACTGCAGGTGATAGGCAGACCTTCATAGCCAGGCTTTCAGTTCCTTTAACAAAGGTCTGGTTCATTGTCTTGCACTCTCCTCCCTTGACTTTGACCCTGCAGGTAATTCTTGGTCAGGTACTGATAATAGCCTTTTGTTACAGAAGCTTGGCTAAGAATATATTTTCCACAGACTTATAACCTCCCACCTACTTTGAGCCATCCCACTTTTTGTTAGGAAGGAATCGGATTTTCATTTCTTCAGTCTTTCTTGGATGTGAAAATACTACATAGTTTTTGAAACAAATATTAATTCAGGAAAATTTGATTCTGTTTTTACCATTTTAAAAAAGTAAAGTAGAAATTAATAGAAAACATTAATCATTTATATTTTAGAATTTAGCTTTAATTTGTTTGGATTATTAAACTGAGGATTCTGGTGGGTATCAACAGTAGTCCAGATAGGTAATTGAAAATTACAATAATATATGAGCAATTGCCTCTGTTGCCTGTTACTATCTGGAAAATAGTATAGTACAAAGAACATGGACTTCTGAATCAGATCTTGATTTCTTGACCTTGCCACATAATTTTTACAACAGTGATAATTACCATTTAGTGAATATACTGTATATCAAATACTATGCTAAGCATTTAATATAAATCATCATATTTAATTATCACAGTAACCCAGTCAGATATGTTTATGATCTCCATTTTCCTGGTGGAGAAACTGAAGCTCAGAGAGGTTAAATACAAAGTCTAAGGCAGAGCTAGGACTGTCTCTGTTGTCTTTCTTTCTGTTGTATTACAGTTGTTTTCTTCTTTTACCATTCTCCCAGGTTTTCCAGACTCCCCTCCCCAGTTTGTGGGAACAGGTGCTCTGCAAATAGGTATTATTGTCAGGTATATTTATGAAAATGTTTGAGAAACAGCTCTAAAGCCATCACTTCATCACTTAAAATAAACTCTTATTGTTATTACACAAACTCTATAGTGATAATCTGAGTTTAAAATATATAATGATGTGAAAGAAAGAATCCTTTGGAAATTCATGTTTTCAATAATTATTGACTTCTTTTTCCCCAGTTTTTAGAGTTGGGCTTTAAGTCAGGGCATTTTAGCTTTTCTACTCATTCATCTTTTTTTCTCTCAACTTTGCTTTTTTATAGAGTTTGAACTCTTATACAAATGGAGGGTATGGCCCGCCATACCCCACTGGCCCTGGGGCTAGTACAGCCTCATACTCTGGGGCTTATTACACACCTGGATATACTCAGACCAATTACTCCACAGAGGTTCCAAGCACTTACTGTTCACCTGGCAACAGCCCAACCCCCGTCTCTCGTTGGATGTATTCCCAGCAGGACTGCCAGACAGAAGCTCCCCCTCTTAGGGGGCAGGTTCCAGGATACCCTCCTGCTTCACAGGTGAGCAGTTTTCAGTCTCTCCCTTTTGAATTGTAAACTTTAGAAGGATATCTATAATAATAGATATAGTATAGTAATGTTAAGTTAGGAAAACATTCTAGATGTTCTCTGAATTCTAGAGGTGATTGTAAATGGCAGGGACTAATTGTACCTTGATGCCTTTCTCACAATCATTCCAGTAGGTGGGTTTTAGCTGGGGGGATCTTAAAGATGTCATAACTATAATTTTTTTATATTGGAAGAACTCTTTAGAGTGTTTTTGCTTTAATGGTTCCCTATCTTAGTTTCTTTGTGCTGTTAAGGTTGTGATTTTTAATGTTCAATGAATGATACCATCTTTATTTCTCCGTTAACTTCAAGAAGAGTTCTAATATATCTATTTGTGATTCCTTTTAGTACTATAGCTTCTATAGTACTTATAGAACAGATATATGCTATGGTTTATACTAGAACATTTTTGGGCAATGACCAACAGTTTCCTTCCTCTCAATCTAGAACCCTGGAATGACCCTGCCTCCTTATACTTATGGAGATGGTAACCGTAGTGTTCCACAACCAGGGCCAAGTGTACGGCCACAAGATGACTCGTGGGCTTCTCCTAGTACTTACGGAATGGGAACCCGTTACCCTTGGCCTTCAGCTGCTCCAGCAGCACCACCTGGGAATCTCTACATAAGTGAAAATACTTCACCATGGCCTAGCAGTGGATCTCCTCAACCTTCTCCTTCACCACCACCACAGCAGCCCAAGGTAAGGGACTTTTTAAAATATTATTTTGAAAAAAGAAAAAAAGGAAAATGTTCTTTTAATGTTTGAGTAATTAAGGGAATTCAACCTGAAACATTGGTGGCTTTACCTAGCCCAGCCCCCCCCCTTTTTAAATATAATATGTTTATTTTTACATCATTTTGTATATATTTTTTTCATCTCAATTGTAATCCCCGTGGGTTTCCCATCACCGAGTCACCCGTGTGCCATAACCATAGTCCCGTGCACTTCCCTCCCCCATTTTTGATCCCATTCCCCACTCCACCCCCACAAAATGTCTCTGGTATATGGCTGTTCATTATTAAATTCTCACCTCATCCATTATACTCCTGCTATAAGCGAAACCATCTGGTATTTTTCTTTTTCTTTTTGGCTTATCTCACTAACATGATCTTTTCCAGCTCCATCCAAGTTGCTGCAAAGACATGTGTTTCTTTTTTTGGTTGCTGAGTAATATTCCATTGTATATATGTACCACATCTTTTTAATCCAGTCATCTACTTTTGGGCATTTGGGCTGCTTCCATGTTTTTCCAATTGTAAATAAAGCAGCAGTAAACATGGGGGTGCAGGTATCTTTTTGAATCAGTGTTTTTGTGTCTTTTGGGTAGATAGCTAGGAGTGGGATTGCTGGGTCGTAGGGAAGCTCCATGTTTAGCAGTTTGAGGAACCTCCAAACAGTTTTCCATAGTGGTTGTACTAGTCTGCATTCCCACCAGCAGTGCAAGAGAGTAGCCCCCCCACCCCCTTTAAAGACTTTTTTTTCAAACAGTTTTAGGTTCACATCTTTGGGGGGACAAAAAGGAAAAATGCTATTTAATGTTTGCTGTAATACTATATGAATGTTAAATAAAATATTGGTATTTTATTGAGGTAATGGTATTTTATTACCTCAGTCTATAGATTATCTCAATCTGTAGATAAAAGTCAGAATAAAAAAGTATAAAAATACATACAGTATTAGTTTGTATAGTTTAATTAAACCATAGTCTTGAACATTATTTAAATAATGTTCCCTGGTTCCCTTTCATTATTGTCTTGAGGTTTTACTCTTGAAGGAAAATAGAAACTTAATTCCTATTGATTAAGTCACCGGTGTATTGTGAGGTGGTTAAGGATAGATTATGAGGTCATCCTGATGATGACCTACCTCAGGATAGATTTCAGCCATTATACTCAGGAATTCTCTGCCTTTTGACATAGCACTCCCTTTTGTCTTTTTAGGTCTCTGTTTTTCTCAAATGATTAAGGAAAAAAGATCAGTTTTATTGGTGGGGAATCTTCCTGGTCAAGTGAAAGATGTGGGCTAACAATTGTAATTTTGATGGATTCCCATTAAGATAACTTTTTCTCCTTTTTACTCTCCTACTCTAAGGATTCTTCATACTCGTTTAGCCAATCAGATCAAGGTATGAACCGGCACAACTTTCCTTGCAGTGTCCATCAGTATGAGCCCTCGGGGCCAGTGAACAATGATAATTCAGATCTTTTGGATTCCCAAGTCCAGTATAGTGCTGAGCCCCAGCTGTATGGTAGTGCCACCAATGAACATCCTGGCAATCAAGATCAAAGTAATAATCTTCCTGAAGAGTGTTTATCATCTTCAGATGAAGGTACGCCCCCGAGTATTAAAAAAATCATACATGTGCTGGAGAAGGTCCAATACCTTGAGCAAGAAGTAGAAGAGTTCATAGGAAAAAAGACAGATAAAGCGTACTGGCTTCTGGAAGAAATGCTAACCAAGGAACTTTTGGAACTGGATTCGGTTGAAACTGGGGGCCAGGACTCCGTCCGGCAGGCCAGGAAAGAGGCTGTTTGTAAAATCCAGGCCATACTGGAAAAATTGGAAAAAAAGGGATTATAAGAGGATTTAGAATAAAGGGGATGCCTGTTATTAATTTGACCAAAGAACTCTTCATTTTGGTTAATTACCCTCATTTTGAAACTCCTGTCAATGACAAGAAGCAATACATGCCAACTTGGATTTAAAACTTGAAAAACTGGTAAAGGACTTGGAAGAATACTTTAGTTTTAAGTTGTTTTCAGACCAATGAATGTAATAGGAAGCTATGGAGTTATCAGCATTGCCAAGTAGACTTACTCCTTAAGAAATTTATGGATATTTATAAGCTGCTTCTTATCAACAGGAGGGAAATATACTTTATGTAACAGGCTTATCGGAATCCAAGCAGTTGAGACGGCGTAACCTGAGACAAACAGGCTGTGTTTTTTAAAACATCTTGTTTAAAAAAATCTTGTCACATTTTTGTAAGTTGTAACTGCTTTCAGCAAACACTTTAATGTGTAAATTACAACTTGGACATTAGCCTTCTGGGACCTTTGTTTTGTTATTTGCAGTTCACAAATACGGTATTATTCTCTACTTCTTGGTACATTTTGTAGTAATTGTTTAATATAATTATTCAAGAGACTATATTGACAGCCAGAGAGTTTGGCAATTCTGAATGAATTTGTATCTTTTCATCATTACTTGAATATATTGCATTGTGTAGTGAGTTCCTGAGGTAAATTGTCTCCTTTTTTTGTATAGATCATTAAGTTAGAATTTTGCCTCTTCTGCTGTTCATGCTACTAGTGGAAGGTGAGTTTGGATATGGCATTGGTATTGGAATGAAAATGTTGCTTTTTTATTATATTTTATTTGGATAAAGATTCACTTACTCCTTTTTCTTTATTTCACAAAGTATAACTATCTTTTCACTAATGCTGTTCAATACAGAGCATTGTGATAAATACCGATGAAAAATTAAATGCCACAGTAAGTGGAAAAATAACCTTATTATTGCAAAAGTAATAAATTATAACTGTCTGCAAATGTTATTCTCCATCTAAAATATTAATTTCACCATCAAGATTCCTATGAGCAGATTTCAACTTAGTTTATAGTCAGAAATGAGGTTAAAGAGGATTCATGCTCAGGGAATGAATTATCCATAGTTAGAATGGAAAATTATTTATTTTTGCCTTTATTTCCCTGGATTAAGTTTCATGGACAGTATTGTCTGTTTTATTTTTAAAGATAATTATTGCCATTAATAACATTTTGGAGCCAGATTTAAGGAAGGGATATTGTAAAGGCCTTTACAGGGCTCATTTGGTTACCTCTATGCTGTTGTGTAGAAGAGGCTTAGGTAAGTAACTTACTTTTTACATCTGAAGTGAGTTCTAGTATACAGTATCTGTTACTGGAAAGACATCTTTTTCTTAATAAGATGTCAAAGTGATAACTTTCTAAACTGCCAGGTCTATTAGTGATAATGAATCTATCAGTCTTTTCCACTGCTTACACACAAAACCAATAAAACGTATATAATGAGAAGAAAGGAAGTAAAATGTTGGCTAGGTCTTATAGTTAGAATGAGTGATTTTTATGAGTTAACATGGAGATAATTTTTTCCAGGATTTTTATTTTTGCTCTAATAAAGGAATGCTAAAATTTTTTCTATAAAAATTTAAAATTATACTCAAAACTAAAAGTTTAAAGGAAAATTTTACAACTAATGTAAACCAGTAAGACAATGACTGAGACCGGAGGGAAACATTACTATTTAACTGAGTACCCATGAAGTGTTGATTTATATGTATAATTATACATATTATGTACATATATACATATGTGTATGTTTTTAACATTTATTTTTTTAATTATTAGATTATTTTAGACTAATTGAAGAGTTGTTCAAATAGTGATTTCTGTAGATGCTTCACTCAACTTCTTATTATATCAACATCTTACATAATCATAGAACATTTGTGCAATTAAGAAGTTATCCTTGATATAATACTGTTACCTAAAGTAGGGAATTTAAAATATAGAGATTTTCTTAATCTTTTCGTGGTTCTAGAATTCAGCCTTGCACTTAACTGTCATGTTTCTGTTGTGTCCTCTAGTCTGTGGTAGTGTAGCATGACACCTGATGTTGTGATGTATTTCTGGTGTTGCTACCCTTAATTGCTACCTAGGGTGGTGTCTGCTAGGATTTTCTACTGTACAATTTCTGTTTTCCTTAATGCAAAATATTTGATGGAGATGCTTTGAGACTATGCAAATGTCCTGTTTCTGCTTAGTTTTTTGCCTAATCATTTTTGTATGCATTAGCATATCTTGCTGTGTCAATTATTACTGTGATATCCTAATGGTGATTTTCTGTTTCTTTCATTTCTTACATAGTTATTAACTGAAATTCTTCTCTAAAAAAAAAGGCTATTGCTTCTGGATTTATATTTTTAGTTATAGTAAGATATCCCAGATCATCACAGTTTCAGAACTTAAAGAAGTAAACCTTGTTAAAATTATTCCAAATGCCATTATTGAAAGAAAACTTAAGTTGATAACCTGTTTCAGAAAATATAATGGATTTTAAGAAGGAAAATAGTATTTATGACTTGTGGATTTGGTTTTAACAGTGACACTAGACTAAACAATTTCAGAAATTTCAAATAGAAACTTTTAAAAAATTTACCTACATTTATATGACCTTGGGGATAATATTTGTCAAAATCTCAAATAAAATTGTCCAGACTTGGTATGTTATATACAACTGTCATCTTTATAATTAGCTATTACTATTTCAATTATAAATGCCACTATAAGTATTTAGACACATAAGCCCTAATGAAGTATCTGAAGGATGGACTATATTTGTGTTAATATTAAATCAAGAACCTTGTATCTAATTTTTTAAATAATTTCAAATAGAGTTTTGAAAACAGCCATTCAGTTGGTTTATGTGATAGCATTAAAGATAGGCCAATTAAAAATAAATGAGGAATATAGATTAAATTGGCATTAAAAGTAGTTTTGGTGGGATGGATAGTTGATAACTGGAGTTTTGTGAGGTTTTTTTGTTTTGTTTTAAATGAACAAGCTTATTAGGAAAAAATTGTTTTAGACATAAGAGGGCAGAAAGAACTGCCCCTTCTGCTTTGCAAAGAAAAGATTTGTGAAAACCTTTTCAAGTTGGGCAGAAGAGATGCTGATTACTGGAGTTTTCATCTTTTTTTAAAAAATTGTGAATTTAAAGACTCAGATAATCTTATGGAAGTTTTTAATTTAAAGAATCAGTTCTCTGAGGAAGATTCATTCATTCTGCTTCCATTCCCAGTTTTCCTTGTATAAAAGCAAATTTCCATTGATTGATAAAAATTTACTTCCACATTTTTTAACAATTGTATTGCTTCTTGACTTGTCAATTTTAGGTTATTTCTACTTATATTTTATTATAGAGGATGAGGATTTTGGTTTATCCATACACACATCTTAATTCCTTATGCCTCTAACTTCTTAATCCAACCATATGGTATTTCTGTTATATGTGATTATGACTGTAAATGCTAGCCAGATATCATCAAGCAATTAACAGTGATTACTTTGCCTTTCCCGAACAGCTTATTTTTCATGGAATTAATTGTATTGACCTCAAACCCTCCATGATTTGTCTAAATTTTCTTGCAAGATATTCACACATAAATTTTACCAGTTTCAAATACCTGAAGAAGTCTATCTTAGGACCTTCTGAATGAAAAACTAGATGTTCCTAGATGCCCCATCATTATGGGGTCTTTATCCTGGGGATTCTTTTCACATTTCTTGTTAGTTTCTTGTTTTCTATAGCCTGTACCTTTTTATTTGTTTATTCCTGCCTTTTGGTAGTAGAATATGTTCTTCAGTAGCCCACAAGGAAAGCATGGGAAATAATTATTTTCTACATCTTACATAAATGTGTTTTCTTGATTGTTGATATAAAACTTGATTTTTCTCTTTGCAAATTGTAGGATGTTTTTTCCCCTCTGCTCTAAGATTTACTGATAGTGTAACTTTGGTTAAACTATTAAAAATGTTTTTGAACACTTTGCTGGGCCCATTTCATTCTGGAAACTCATACCCTTAAATACTGTGAAATTTTCTTGATTCTTGTATTTATTAGTTACCCTCCCCCACCAGTCTGTTAATTCTTTAATCTTTCCAGAATTCCTGTTATTTCTATTATTGCCCTTCTAAACAGAATCTTTACTTTTCTTTCATCCTCATGTTTGTCTGTATTTTGTAGGAGATTTATTTATTTTTATTTTCCAACTCTTCATTGAATCTTACATTTTTTTTTTTTAAAGATTTTATTTATTTATTCATACAGAACTGGGGTACAGGCCAGAGTTGTGGAGGGTGAGAGGCTTCACCAGAGACAGAGTGGGGAGCTCTTACATTGTTTTTATTATAATTTCTAACAGTTCTTTGTGTTACTTCTGGGATTCTGCTTGTTTATGGTAGCACTTTACACCTGAGAATTTTAATGATAATTTCTTGTATAATAACAGATTATCCTAATGTTGCTTTTTTTCTTTCTTGATCTCTTAATCTATTCTTGGATATGTTTTTACAGTTGTGTGTTAGAGGCCCAAGTTGCTTCTAGAAAATGCTTTCTGCTTTTTTTTTTTTTCCTTAACAGTCTTTCTTGGAATGGAATAGCTGTTCTAACTATGAAATTGGGAAGGGAAGATTATCTAGATAATTTTCTTACTCATATGAAAACCAGAAGTGTTTTATACTTTATTTTACTATGCCTCACTCTCAATTGTGTAAAATGAGACAAAGGAGGTGCCAGCTGCTGAAAGTGAGGTTTAGAGGCTTCACATTTTCTCTCAGCCAACCCTTAAATGTCTTTTTATTTTGCAACATGTGTTTGATTTTGGGAATCTAATGCCAAGAGTAGTAAAGTTTTTAACTTTGAGGTAATTGTAATTCATATATAGTTTTCAGAAACAGTGCAAAGTTTTTACTTACCCAGTTCCCCACAATGATTATATTTTGTAGAACTGTACTACAACATCACAACAAAGATACTGACGTTGACCCAATTGAGGTACAGAAAAATTCCATTACTACAATTATCTCTTCTTTTGCCCTTCCATATCCACATTTACTTCTTTCTCATCATACTATCCTGCAATCACTAATCTGATCTACATTTCTAATTTTGTCTTTATAAGAATGCTATAGAGCCATTTTCCCCACTTAGCATAATTCTCTTAAGGTTCAGCATAGTCATTTCCTCTATCAGGAGGTTTTTTGTTTTTTGTTGTTTTTTTTTTTTGCTGAGTAGTAGTCTGTGGTATAGATATACCACATCTGTTTTGTTTACAGTGTTTGGCTATTATGATGAATAAAGCTGCTATGTACATTCATGTATAGGTTTTTGTGTGGACCTAGTTTTCATTTCTTTGGGGTCAATCTCAGAAGTGCAGTTATGGGTCATATATAATAATTGCATATTTACAGTTTTAGGATACCTCAAACATTTTTGGAGTAATTTACATTCCTCCTAGCATATGTATTTCTTGGCCTCCTATCAATATTTGGTAATGTCATATTTTAACCATTCTGATAGCTGTGTAGTGATATCTGGTGGTTTAATTTGCATTTTCATAGTAGTTCATGATGTTGAACGCCTTTTAATATGTTTATTTGCTGTCTGTATTGTTAAATGTACGTTTTCTAACTGGACTTATTTATTTTTTTTAAGATTTATTTATTCATACAGAACTGGGGTACAGGCCAGAGATGTAGGGGTGGTGAGATGATTCACCAGAGACAGAGTGGGGAGCAGAACAGGCAGATCGACGAAGTACACTGCTGAGGGGAGCAGTGGGTGGGTCAGGATAGGTCTGCTGGGCCATGTGGGTCACCTCTAGGGCGGGAATCGCACTCATGCTGAAGTGGCTTTAGCTTTTTAGTGCTGTGCTTTGTGCCACCAGGGAGGGCCCTGGACTTATTTTTAATAAACTTACTTTAGATTAGTTTGGGTTTACAATAAAAAAATTGTGATACTATAGCACTTACCTTTTATTAACACCTTTAGTGTTGTACATTTGTCACAGTTAAGGGATCAAAATTGATAGTTTTATTAAATAAAGTCCATAACTTATTTAGGTTTTTTTAGTTTTTAACCTAACATTTACCTCTTGCAGGATCCCATTCATAACAGTACATTACATATTTAGTCATTTCTCCTTAGGATTCTCTTGGTTGTGACATTTGCTCAGGCTTGTTTTTGATAAGCTTGACAGTTTTAAGGAGTACTGGTCAGATATATTTAAGAATGCCCTTCATTTGGTGTTCTTCTGATGTTTTACTCATAATTACATGGGTCTCTAGGTTTTTGGAAGACCATAGAGGTAAGTGCCTTTCTCATATATCATAATACATCATATATTAAGTATGTATGCTGTCAGTATAACTCAATACTGTTGATGTTAAACTTCATCACCTGGCTGAAGTGGTTTTGTCAGGTTTATCTAATATAAAGTTACTTCTTCATACTGTAACAAAGTCACTGTACAACAGCTCTGCACTTAGAAGTGGAGAGTTACCTTCTACCTCTGTGAGGGTGTTCAGCTACACACATTTTGTGGAATTTCCCTCCAAGTGTCTAGTCTCTCCATTTATTTAATCACTCATATCAAAATGGACTCAGATATTTTATACTTTGTTAGGATCTAATAGTACCTTATTTTGCTTTAGTAATAGGGAGCTCTTTCATTTGGCTCTTCTGTTCTTTTTACTTACTGTATCATTGTGTGTATGTGTAACCTTAAAAAAAAAAAAGCCCTTTTTGATACTACATTACTTATGCCCATTTCATGAATTTCCTGTTGTGGTCTCAGAAGCAGTTATATTTCTTTTAAGTCCTGGTTCCTCTTACTGAAGAATAGTATTGAATATCCATTGTCTTTTTACTGCTGAGTTTTGAGAATTTATTTTCTAGGTCTTAGTACTTTGTTAGATATGTGGTTGCAAATATTTTACTTAATACTTAAGTCTGTGCTTACCTTTTCATTCTTTTAGCAGTGTTTCAGAGCAAGGGTTTGAAATTTTTTTTTCAAAGTTTTTTTTTTTTTTAAGATTTATTTATTTATTCATACGGAACTGGGGTACAGGCCAGAGATGTGGAGGGTGAGAGGATTCACCAGAGACAGAGAGGGGAGCAGAACAGGCAGATCGAGGGCGGGTCAGGAGAGGTCTGCCACGCCTTGTGGTCGCCTCCGGGGCAGGCAGGAATCGAACTCATGAGGAAGGGGCTTTAGCTTCTTAGTGCTGTGCTTCAACCTGTTGTGCCACCAAGGAGGGCCGGGTTTGAAATTTTATTGAAAACCTACTTAATCAATTTTTCCTCGTATCAGACTCTCAAAATTCTTTGTTTATCCCCCAGTTCCTGAAGATTTTTCTCCTGTTTTTTTCCCAAAAGTTTTATAATTTGCATTTGCACTTATTACATTTACATTTGTATAATATGACAACTCTAGTTGAAAAGAAGCTTCTAAAGTTGATAGAAACTTCCAAGGATTAAAGCCACCTTGCTGCTAAGCTAAACTGAAGTTTATCAGTTCTCAAAACAAATAGCCCTCATTGAAATAAGAGAACTCATAAAAGTATCAATTGCTTTCTTTACAATGAAACCAAATCTAAATTTATTAAAGTTGAGTGCAGGAAACATTCAACGTGGTAAAGTGCATTTTCAAAATCAGTGTCTTTGACTGGAAGAGAATATCACACTGGATTCCTCAGGTTCCACCTAGTGCTATTGTTATTTTATAAACAAAGTCAGTAAATGATGGTACAACTGACATTATAGTTCAGGTCTTCTGTTTTCTAACCTAAGCCTTTGTCTCACAGCAGCAGCCTATGTAGTCTTGATATGAATGTAGATTCATGGACCCTTCTGAGTGGTAAATCTGAAAAAAAATCTACATTTTGAAGAATCAGCATACTCTTCCATTCATCAGAGCTTATCAGATTAGAAAACAAATGTCTAGGACCTAGAAAACAAAGCCCTAGTCTTCCTATTTTATAGCCCAATCTTCAGAGGCAACTGTGGAGTTTTCCTCCACAGTTTCCTTAGATGATAACAAGAATTGAAGACATTTTACAGAAACTATGTATTCTCACACCACCTTGCACCACCATAAGCACTCAACATTCTTTTTGAATACTGAAATTTGGTTTATTCTGGAAAGGAGAATTCAAAATCAATGCCTGTCTTTGGATATTAAATCTAGTTGTTTCATGACCCTTAAGACATTTGGTTTTGCTCTGATTTGCAATTTATCAGACATTGTTATCTTTTACTTTATAGCATGGAGTCAGCAAATTAATCTACCATAAATTTTTGGAATTTAAGTTTTAATTGGATACAACTGATGAAAGCTAAGAGTAGAAAAATAGGGTGGAGGTGTCACAAGACCAGAAATTGGAGGTGGGTGTAGAAATGATTAACATAGTTGTTAAACTGACTATAGAAATGAAAATCCTTATGTAGACTGCGATAGGAAAAAACTCGCAGCACAGGGAAGCTAGCTAGTCGCAGCCACTGCAGCATAAATTCAAACCCCGGCTCTGGAGCTGACCTGACCCACAAGGCGCAGCAAACTTCTCCTGTCTCACCTGCTGCTCCCCTCAGCAGTGTGCTTCATCAATCTGCCTGCTCTGCTCTGCACTCTTTGGTGAATCCTCTCACCTCCCCTGCACCCCAGTTGTCTATGCGTGAATAAATAAATCTTAAAAAAAAATTTTTTCTATACAAAGCATCTGGAGGCATAGAGCAGTGATGGGGATATGAAGTTTGAGTTCACTCTAGAGAATCAACTGGACCTATGCCTACTAAGAGCTCAGTGAATGTTAGCTGCTACCATTAGTCCATTAGCTAGTTACATGACAGGGTCTTATATAATGAGGCACAGTGGTCTTCATCTCTGTAGAGAACAGAAACAATTTAGGTATTTCAAATTTGACATGGTATCAGTAAACTTGTGGATATTTGTGTGTGGCTTTAGCCTCTAAGAGAATGTGTTACGATAAGTTCCTTTTTCATCCCCACGCCCCTTCTTTTGGTTTCCGAATAAATAGAAATACAATCCCCTGAATCCTCGCCCTGTAATCTAGTTATAAAGTACAAAGTATTTTATTGAGTACCCAAAGGAACTGAGATCTTCTAGCAAACTAAATACTCAAGAGAGCAGGTTAAGGATACTAATCAGCTTCATAACTGTAGGAAATTCGTTTAAATGGTAACCTCTATTATCTCACTCACCCGCCCTCTTACACCCCCCCCCAAAAAAAAATACCCCCAAAACCAAAACCTCGTCTCCAACCAACTTGGCGTCCCTTAAAGTTGTTAATATATTTTCGGCAGCCTCTAAATCCAAACAAACGGGGTGGGACCAGAGAGACTTTCCCTGCAGGTGCAAGTATTCTCAGCACCCAGGAGTTGGGGCAGACCTAACTGCCGCTAACGCCTTCCGTCCTCCCTGCGTCGCCCTGGGGTCCCCGCGCCACCCTTGGCCCTACCGTCGGGTTAAGCCAGAGTGCCACCCGGTTCAATGAAGTGAGGATGGGCTGAGTGGAAAACCTGCCCTTCACTGAAAATTCGGAATGCTTTCGTCCACCTACAATATCTTACTCCCCATCTTTGCCTTTTAAAGACTATGGCCTGAAACGGCGCGCGACAACTTAGTGCGCCACGCACTCCGCACGCACCACCGCACGCTGCGCCCCGGCCCGCAGCCCGCAAGGAGGAGCCACATCTCGCGCGACTCCCTCCACTTCTCGCGACACTTCCCGCTGGTTTCGCCCTGGGGCTGCACCCGTTGCTTTCTCGTCGGGCATCTAGTCACCTCTGCCTTCGCAGCCCGGCCCGCTACTCGCCCGCTGGAAGCGCGGTGGAGCTCAGCTTTGGGCCTCGGCCTAGCGGAGCCTCAGGCTCCGCCCCGCCCCGCCCCGCCCCGCCCTGGCTGGAGGGACAGGCCGCCGCTGGGTCATGTCGTGCCCTCCTCAGCTAGGGCAGGAGAGCGTGCGAGGCAGCGGGCCTGCCAGGTGAGTTGTGCCGCGGGCCGGCGGGCGGCTGATGTAGGGGGGAGGCACTGCGGGGCGCTGATGCCCGAGAGGAGGAGGCGTTGCCCAGGCAGGGCGAGGGGAGGGTGGAGCAGTTAGCCGGACTCGCGCCGGTAGATGAGGGTGAACTCGGTTCAGGGGAAGCAGCCTGGGCCCCTGTTGTTGAGCACCCAAAGTAATTGAGGTCGAATACGTCCCCGACAAGTCGCTTTGTTTCCGTTGGAAGCTCCGCTCGTCTCGGGGAGGCTGGAGGTAGGCGACAAGGAACGTAGGTTCAGGTCTCATGTCTGGACCGCAGGAGGCCCAGGAGGGAGTGGGGAAGCGGGACACGCCACGGTGGCCCAGGGAAATTTGTGCCGAGAGCCCGAATGTGTTCGCTCGGAAGGCCAGGTGTTGGCCGTTGCTGTTGGGTGCTGAGGTACTGGTCATCTGGCCCAGTCCCCTCAGAGCGGCGTAAGTATGTTGGATGTCAAGCAGTGTTAAGTCTTTGCGGGGTGGCCGAATGTTGAGGGGGTAGGAAGGAGTCTCCTTTGGGGAAAGTGGCACTTGAGGTCACTCGTTACATCGCACCTGAGAGGTGAACTGTGAGTGGCTGCGCGCATGCGCACAGTGACCCCAAGCGAAGGCTCCTGTTTTCCAAATTGTGCTGTGGTCCTTTGATCAAGCTCACTTACAGGCTCAGTAAGAGGGACTGCTTCTTAAGTGATGAGTTCTCGTTTGAGGAGTTTAAGATTCCAGTAATGAGGTTAATGTATAGTGGTGCAGGGCTGGAGCCTGCAGCCAGGTGCTCCTAAACATGGCAAATTGACTGCTGCAAGTAGATTTTTTCCACTTGTCGGTAGACCTAGAAATTGGGCTAGAATATTTTGTCATCATCGAGTTTTTGACCGCGTGTTTCTTGTGATTCCGGTTTTTTTTTTTTAAACTGGTGAAAACCATGTAGTTTTCTGAGAGAATTAGGAGATTGAAGTGGTTGGCCTCACTGTAAGTATTTTGTTTGAAGTATCTTCCCTCCACATCCAGATGTTAATCTCTATTATTTTTAAAGTATGTTCCCCCCACCCCGTAGTTTTCTGTTTGTTTTACAGAAATGACTCCTTAAATGACCAGTTGTGGATGTGTTTGTCAGCAGTTACATTTTTTTTTTTAGTTATGAATAGGTCTTTAATGACAGAGGTGTGGTTTAGGATTTAAAGGCTGAGTGGGCTGGGTCAGGGACAGAAGTGCAGTTACATTTTTAATTGAAAGAAAATAATTTTTTCTGATATTTTTCTTTGTCTTTTAGAAAGCAAAATGTCATCAGTGGAATCACATCAGGAACAGTTGTCCCAGTCCGATCCGTCCCCATCACCAAATTCATGTAGTTCCTTTGAGCTAGTAGATATGGATGTTGCCAGTTTGTATGAACCAGTTTCTCCTCATTGGTTTTATTGTAAGATAATTGATTCTAAGGAGACGTGGATTCCTTTCAATTCTGAAGATTCACAGCAGCTGGAAGAGGCATATGGCTCTGGTAGGGTGAAATGATGACATTAATAGACAAAGACTTAACTGTTAATCGCTCTCATACTGTCATTGTTTTTATAATAAGTGCTATTAAAATTTAGGTAAATATATATATACATTAATAAATTTTAAATAAAAAAATTTTAAATTTAGGTTTTTTCCACCCTAGTTATCTCCTAGTGTTCCTATATAGAAAAGATCTGCATTACTACCTAGCAAATTTATAATACTCAAGAATTTGGTCTGTATTTTGAAAATGGTACCTATTATAATTTCTGCATATTCAGTATTATGTTCTAGCTTGTTTCATAAAAGTATGTGTGTGTGTGTATATGTGTGTGTAGTTTGGTGTGATATTGCAAATGAATGCATTCTTTAACTTGTCACTTATTTTTTTCTTTCATGAAATAAGAATGATGCTAGTTACTGTATCATGATAAGCATTAATTACTTACTGATATTTATTATATACTTTTTTATGTTTTTAAGGGATACTATTTTCACTCTTCAAAAAAAAGCAAAATAATGTTTGGGTTTAAAAAGAGCAAAATAGTTTTGGGTATCAAAACCATGAATGATTTTGATAGTTCGTAAAGTTGTCAGTGATAAGAGATTTATTAAATTTCATCGTAAAGTTGTCACTGATAAAAAAGATTTATTAAATTTCACCTTGCTAAATGTTTGTTCAAGTAGAAACTTCATGTGTTTCATAACGTTATTTAGATTATAACTGAGAATTGTATTTGGGGGGAGTTATTTTGATAAATGCACTTCTTTTTCCGTTTTCCAATCCTTAATAGGGAAAGATTGTAATGGGAGAATTGTCCCCACTGATGGAGGCAGATATGATGTTCATTTGGGGGAGAGGATGCGGTATGCTGTATATTGGGATGAACTAGCTTCAGAAGTGAGACGATGTACTTGGTTTTACAAGGGAGACAAAGATAATAAATATGTTCCCTATTCAGAGAGCTTCAGCCAAATATTGGAGGTATTCCTCTGACCCCTTTCAATTCATCATTTTTTCCTTTTTGTTATTTAATCTTTTCTTCCTCTTGTGCTTTTGTGAAATTTCTACAAAGACTTTGGTTCTATCTGCATAGCATTTTTGCAAGATAGTTTCAGGATAAAATAGTTTTATTTTCAAATGTTAATGTACTATGGAAACTTAGGACTTTACATTAACATTTCCTTCCCTACTGGTGCTAATATTTAAACTATAACCAAAGGAGTGACTATTTTCTTGCTCTGCAAACAGTCTCTTCTGAAAATTTCTTTAAGCTGAAGACATTAATTACTATTGAAGGAATATTTCAAAAATGTGAACAGTGATTATCACTAATTTACATGATGGAATTAGGAGTGATTTTTTTTTCTTATCCTATTACTGTGATCTTAAAATAATTTCAAAATAAATTGCTAAATCAAGAGAAAAGATTATGTCTAATATATACCTGACTTTATGGGAAATATACATGCATTATTTATATTGAAAAAATATCAAAATATGAAGTGTTTTCTGTACTTTAAATAATAGAAGTAGTGATTTTTGTTCTTGTGCTATATACTTTTTGTAATTTTATAGAGTAGGATATCTTACTGTAATTTCATCTAGCAGTATTCTTGTAATTTCAGTTTTAAGAGATGATCTATTAGATAACTCTAATGAGATATATTTACTTTTAAGGAAACTTATATGCTTGCTGTAACTCTGGATGAATGGAAACAGAAACTGGAGTCTCCCAACAGAGAAATTATTATACTACACAATCCAAAGGTAGAGGAAATGAAAGCCTTTTTCTAATGTGGGGTTAAAGGTTAATTGCATTACTAATGATAAATGGTTTCTTTTTCCTAAGGATTCTACTTAGGATAATCTCTGGAAATTTTTATATTGCCCTCACAACTATGCAACTTAAAACTTGTAGCCACTACTATTTACTCTGTTCAGCTTACACTAAAAATTTTTAGATAAAATTACGCCACTATAAATTAAGAAAGTTGCATATTAAGTGGGCATACATTCCATGTGTAGGGGATTGTTGAAAGTTGTTAACCTGATTTGTTGAGGTATGATTGACAAAACTAAGATTTAAAAGTGTATCACATTGTCAGTAGTATATAGTGTATTTCTAGGGGGTTCATTTCAAGCTTAGGAGATAAATACCTAAACTCAGGTTGACATTTATGTTTTCAAGATATCTCACATTAAAGTCATCTCTATTTACACATTCTGAAGAGTAGGAACATATCTTTTTTGTTCTGCTCTTATATTTAAGCTTATGGTGCATTACCAGCCAGTGGCAGGCTCTGATGATTGGGGTTCAACACCCACTGAACAGGGTCGACCAAGAACAGTAAAGAGAGGAGTTGAAAACATCTCTGTTGACATTCACTGTGGTAATGTTAATCTTTTTTTTTTTTTTCTTCTGATATACTTATTTGCTTGTGACTTAACTGGTTATTTTTTTTTGGGTAGAATTGGATTCTGTCAAAGTTTAAACTATATAGATTGCTCTAAATTAAGATTAGCATCATGGGGCCTCCCTGGTGATGCAGAGTTTAAAGACACAGCACCATCAAGCTATTGCTAGCCACTATACCACGAGTTATATCCCCTGCCCTGTGAGCTAACCCACTTGGCACAGCAGACCTCTCCTCTTTCTCCAGCTGCTCCCAATAGCAGTGTATTTCAGTAGATCCACCTGTTCTGCCCCCTGCTCTGTCTTTGGTGAATCCTCTCAAGCCCCTCCTCCCACACCCCCTACCTCTGGTCTATAACCCAGATCTTGTATGCATAACTAAATACATCTTTAAAAACAATTATTAGCATCACATCATCTACTAAGAATCTTAATAGCTAGTACCTTTTAAAGTTGCTAATTATATATGATAGTAATCAGGAAGTCACTAAATATAGATGAATTGATTTAATCCTAATTTTAAGACGTGAGTCTACCTGTTTGGTTAGAAATTTATTTCTGATTAACTCCTTGAAGATTTTCAACTAAGGAAAACTAATTTTTTCAGTAGTACCTTGATAGTTACTAGTTGCTGTCTAGCTTGGGTTAATTTATGGTTGATTTTATTATATACTTAACTGGATTATAAGATTCCTTTTTTTACAAAAGGCAATGGATTGTCTTGGGCTTTAAGATTTAATACAAATAAAAAAGATGAGTTTAATATAGTGTGTTTCTACTACATACCAGACATTATTGGTACAATTCATAAAAATGAATGTTAGTTAAAAATATTTTTCAATATAAAGTCTGGTTATATAGAGAATAGTCTTAGGAAATACACATTAAAATGTCAAAAGGTTAAAAATGTATATATGTGCAATTTGATATATATATATACATATATACACATATATATACACATATATATTTGTCTTGAACAAGTGGTTCAGACAAATAAACGTGTGTATATACACATAAAGATAGAAGAGAGAATAGTAAATGTGGTTATAAAAAAAAAGTACTGAATGTGTCCTTTAGTTAAAACTTGTATTTTCATTAGCCATCTTTATAACCTGTTCATTTTAAATGTTTGATTTTAGAATATATGACTAGTCACACAGAATTTTTCTTTTTAATTTCATTTATAGGGGAACCTTTACAAATAGATCACTTGGTTTTTGTAGTGCATGGGATTGGACCAGCTTGTGATCTCCGTTTTCGAAGCATTGTACAGTGTGGTAGGTTTGCAAAGTACCTGTGATTAAATCATTTACATGGACTATTAATGTTCTATGAGCTGCGATAAAGTGTTGTCTTCCATTTGTTGTCTTAACTGCACAAATTGGTAGAACTAACAACAGGTGGTAGGGTACTACATCTTCAGAGCTTAGACCTAACGTGCAAATAAATTTCTTAGGTTAGTAGCTTAAGCTAATAATTCTTGAGCACATAAGCATTTTCATTCTTATAAAATTATTTTATGGTGTGATGGCCCACTTTCTGGGCCATCTAAAGGAACCTGCAAAGATGATATAATTTAAATGAATAACAGAACCTTTTGTCCTTTTTGTAATGTATGCTGTGATAAATTTCTTTGTATTTTAGTTCAGATATTTAAGGCATTAATATAACTTAATTTTGAAAGATAGCATCCTCTGAAACTTGATAGTAGTCAGTCTAATTGTTCAAATTTGGGAGTCTTAGCCTACTAAAGGTATAGACCTAGTGGGTTAAGATTGATGTAATATTAACTTCAAAGAGCAGTGGTTTTTTTTTTTTATCTAAAATGTTGGGTACTGGCTAGAAGCAGCAGAAAGTAAGTGTACAAGTCTGACTGCAAGATCTAGTAACAGTAATGAAATTTGTTTTCAAGTTGAAAGGGTTCCTATAACACAATAGAATTTTTGAGTTTTCTTTTGATAAAATCTTGGTGAAAGCAAGTTCTGTATTAATGGAGTATCTTTTCCTATATGCACTGATAATTTTTCCTGAATACCACTTAGCTATTTTTGATTCAAGTCTATATGTTTTCAAAGAAAATCTAGAGTATAAATACATGACCTATTGCATCTGATTATGACTTCATGGTTGATGCATAAGTTAATTTTCTTTTGTAGTTAATGATTTTCGCAGTGTTTCCTTGAACATGCTCCAGGCACACTTTAAGAAAGCTCAAGAAAATCAACAGATTGGAAGGGTAGAATTTCTTCCAGTCAACTGGCATAGTCCTTTGCATTCTACTGGTGTGGATGTGTGAGTAATACCTTGTATCTTCGAGTTGTGAACTGTGATTCTAATGTTTGCTGACTTTTAAAATGTTTAGGGTATGGTGGATGTATATTTAAAATTTTGTTTTACATTATTAAATGCCAGCCTCTCCCTTGATGTAATTTGCCAGGATTAGGAGTAAAAAGGTGTATGTTCTTAATATATTTTACTCATACATTAGTATTTACTGTAGCTACTTCACTTTGTCTTTAACACTAAAGTAAACATTAAAAAATAAAGGTAAACATTGATTACTTCCCAGAATGTATAAACATTTAACATCCTCAGATGTCAGAAGCCAAGTGGAGCTTAAGGTGTACAAAGTATTTAGTTCCTTTTGTGTTCATATTTAGATATCATTTGTCCAAGTTTGGGGATAAAAGAAAGTTCTAAAACATTAAATTGTTAGCATGAATAACTTGAGGTTTAATTGGTACAGTAAGTTCTAAATGACATTAGTTTATAAAACCCAGTAGTTTTGTTTGTAAATTTTATGTCAGAGAAGTTTGCCCTATATTAACGATTTTCAGCTGTAGATTCTTCAGAAAGGATGTTCATAATGCAGCTATAGGCTAGAACTAGGAGATGCTTCTCTGGAAGAGAAGGAAGTAATCACCATTATTTCCAGCCTGGTCTTAGAAATGGCTTTCCATTCTGTATCTCTCTGTTGTTAATACCCCATGATTTGAGCATATTCCATGTGTCAAATATTTGAGGTAATAGTTTTGGGAATTTTTAAAAAGCTTTAACTGAATGTTGCTTTAGATTACATCAGCAGAATCTTCTTGTGCAAGATAGGAGTTCTGTTATTCTTTGGCACTTTTTCAGCATTTAGAAATTTTGGAGAGTGAGGTGATTGGTTTATCACTTGCTATCAAAAAACCTTATATGGAGAATTCTAAAGAAAACCCCCTTTGTATTTTTTGTATTGTCTTTTTTTTTAATGTTTTATTATATAAAAAAAGTACATACATAATGAAACTAGTACTGATTGATTACCCAGCCGATATCAGCACATAGCCAGTTTTGCTTCATCCATATCTTAATACCTGTGTCTGCTACTCATCTTTCTAACATATTATTTTTGAATCAAGTCTTAGACATATCATCTATAAATGTTTCAATTTGTATATCTCAAAGGACTTAAAATTACATAACCATACACCATTACCATGCCTAAAAATATTTAATATCAGCAACTACGTAATATAGTCAGTATTCAAATTTCTAGTTGTTTGATAAGTGACGTGACGTATGTATGAGTACAAACATACACTCTGAGATTTTAAACATACAATGGAGTTTTAAACTGAGATCCAAATAAGAGCTATAAATTACAATTAGTTGATATATTTTAAGTCTCTTAATCACCTTTTTATCTTTTTGCAATTCATTTGAGAAAAAAAAATTTTTTTAAAGATTTACTTAGTTATGCATTTAAAAACCGGAGGAGAGGCCAGAGCTGGGGGTGGAGCGGGCGGGTTGAGAGGATTCACCAGGGACAGAATGGAGAACAGAACAGGCAGGCTGACTGAAATACACTGTTGACGAGAGTAGGTGAGCCAGGAGCGGTCTGCTGCACCATGTGGGTCAGCTTCCTGTCTGGGGATTGAACTCCTGCTGCAGGGGCTGTGGATAGCTTCATAGTGCTGAGACTTAACCCCTTGTGCCACCAGGGAGGCCCTCTGGGTTTTTTGTCTTGTAGTTTCCCATGCTCTGAATTTTGCTGATCATTATCTCTTTGGCATTATTAAACACGTCTCTCTGACCTCAGTTTCCTTTAACTTGATAATTCTTGTATTTATATATGTCTAAGTCTAAGCTTGAAGGTTAAAGTAGATAGAGGAGTTATGAAATGTATTTAGTGTTTCTACTTAAAATAGTTTTCTTTTTTCAGAGATCTGCAGCGAATAACCCTGCCCAGCATTAACCGCCTAAGGCACTTCACCAATGACACAATTTTGGATGTCTTCTTCTACAATAGCCCCACCTACTGTCAGACTATTGTGGACACAGTTGCTTCTGAAATGAACAGAATATATACACTTTTTCTGCAGAGGAACCCCGATTTTAAAGGGGGTGTATCTATTGCTGGTCATAGTTTAGGTAACAAATGAATTCTCTGTGACCTTGGAGGACACATTTGAATGACTTGTTGAAGCACAGTGTGTTCTCCCAATATTAATTTCAGAATTTTAGAACTGATCTGTGATGGAGAATTTGTGAAGGGTTGGAAGGGTGGTGGTAGATTGGAAAGAAGGACTCTCTGCTTCATAGCTGTTGCTCCAAGGGTAATTAATTGACTTATCTGTATAAAGTAGCTGTTTAGTGATAATGCTTAGAAATTGTCCCTTTCTTCTGTTTTACTTATAGGTTCACTTATATTGTTTGATATCCTGACAAATCAGAAAGATTCTTTGTGGGATATTGACAATGAAAAGGTAATTTAGATGTTCAGATAGATTTTCTTATAATATTTATTAGTAAGGATTTTGGGATTTCAGATGTATATTTTGTTTTTAACTTAGCTTACTTATACCATAAAATTAAATTTGTATTTAATTCCTTTTTACTACAATTCATTGTAATTATTTGTCATTCTTGAATAATAGAAGCAAGATAGTAATGTGCTTCTACTAATATTTGCCACATTCTAAAATAACTGTAGATACCTTATTTCTGTTAGACATGTACTTTGTCTATACACATTACTAGAATTCTGCTATTATAATTATAGAATTCTGAAGTTGAAATGGCGTTTGAATATGAGAAAATGAAGAATAAATTAGATGCAACTTTATAAAATTTTTAGAAATTGAAACAAATGAGAGGACTTGGTATTTAAGTATGTTTCAGTAAAACAAAATCCTGTGAATGCTAGTAAATCACTAGTACTGATTTTGTACTTAATATGTACTACCTTGTATTTCTTTCTGTTTTTATGAAAGTCTCCTATTTTTTATGTTGCATTGTGATTTTTTTTTCTAGCACAGGGGTTTTGTTTCCAGTTGCTTTGTCTTAAACATTGTTTCCTTAATAAGAGTTCAGTAAATGTTTTGTTAGTGATGATGAAAAATAATAATACTCTGAATCATCCATTCAATCATTTATTTAAAAACATTAAATTTCAACTGAAGTTGCAAAAATTTAAGAGATCAACCACCCCTATTTTGTGTAAATTACAATCTAAAATTCAGATATATTGTGGAAATGATACATAGTACATTTCTTTATTGCAAAATAGTATTAACAAGGGACGTGTAAGTGAAATGAGGGGCTATGATCTTTACAAATTGATTTTTAGGATTCACCAAATATTGTTATGGATCACGGAGACATAACTACACTAGAAGAAGATCTGAAGAAACTTCAACTCTCTGAATTCTTTAGTATCTTTGAGAAGGAGAAAGTAGATAAGGAAGCACTGGTAAAAGTAATCTTTTAAAACTTTACTTCATTTTCAGTATCTTTATTATCTTCATCATACTGCTTCATAAGCAGCTGCCCTTTGGAAGCATTTTAGCCATACTGTGTTATCATTAGTAATGTTGTCTAGCATTATTTATGTCTTTTTACTTTTTTTTTAAGATTTATTTATTATTTATACATACAAGAACTGGGGTACAAGCCAGAGGTGTGGGGGGAGAGGATTCACCAGAGACAGAGCAGGGACCAGAACAGGCAGATTGACAAAGTACACTGCTGAGGGGAGCAGTAGGTGAGACAGGAGAGGTCTGCTGTGCCATGTGGGTCAGTCCCCTGGTTGGGGATCAAACTCAGCTGCAGTGACTGTGACTAGTTTCATGGTGCTGCTGCACTTTAACCTGTTGCGCCACCAGGGAGAACCCTATGTGTCTCTTTTTAAAAATCGTATCAAGTCATCTTTGTGGGAACTCAAAATTCAGAGGAGCCACATTGATATGTCCAGTGATAGAACAAATTCTGAAAAACAAAGCCCAGAAAACATGAGAACAAGAGTAAACTGCTTCCCACTAAGCCAGCTCTTATTTTTAAAAACTTTTTTTTTTTTTAAAGATTTATTTATTTTGTGCATACAGAACTGGGGTACAGGCCAGGGGTGGCAA